CACTTTCGTGCAAACTGAAACAGGGAAGGTTTCGATTAAACGAAATATCGCTAATTTGCAGATTGAAGCTCTTCTTTCACAACGTAAAAGAAGGTTAGGTTAGGTTACTAATCAGTCGTACGATTTTTTTTCCTTTTTCGTCGTTTCATCGAACTTTGAATATTAGACCTATGTTCGAGAAATTGTAACAGAAATTTTATGTCGTTACATTCGAAGTATAATAAATACTTTTTTGACGTGGCGTTATTTTAAAAGGAGTTCAATCTTCAAATCCATTATAGATTCAGCCGCGAAGGAAAAGAAATGGCGTCTTCACACGTAGTTCAAACATGTCTCAAAATAAAATGAACTTTAAAGTGATGCATTTTAAAATTAAAATGCTTATTGTAAGATCTTTTGTTATATAGTTACATTATAGTATGGAATATGTAACATCAATTTTTTTCTATCATATCATTGTATTGTATTGTCTATTTAATTTTAATTACATTATAATTTTTAGTATTTTAATTATGTATACATATAAATTTTAGTATTTTAATTATGTATACATATAAATAGTTAGTTAATTGTACAACAAATATGAAGTAAATAAGGATTAATCTCGTTATCGTTATCGAGAAATGAGATCGATTAGATCCTTTTTTTAATCCTGAGAACCCGGACTGATTGGTCTTACATGTCAATTTTTAACCTCATTTTAGTACATTACACGTTGCAAACGAGATAACGCGTACTGAATTTGCGTTCATTAATATCTGTCTCGAAAGTAGAATTGTATCGTAAACTGGTATACTTACAAGATAGGTTAAATCCGAGTCTGATTCATGTTACGCATGAATGACAAAGTGATACATTTGAACAGAGTGTTCTCCGCATATGTGATTTTTACGTTTGAAACAGGTTTGCTCGGTTGTTCGCAAGTTTGCTTTTGGTTGTCATATTTGGTTTTAACTAGTTCACGAAGCCAACTCTTGTAAAACACAAATTCGTCCTCTATTTGCCTCTGAGCTGTTCCTGTCTGTGCGCAGTGTTTCTCATATGCAATGTAAGAGGAATCTAATATCAACCATGAACGTCGTGTATACGTTAAATACGATAAATAATTTTCTGCATGCGCAGATCTCCTGTCCGTAACTACTTGCAAATTTATCAACGTCAGTGCTAGATATCAATCCTGATCGACCGCCTCTATCTAAGGAGTAAAAAATCAAGGTGACTTTGAAAAGAAGTGAAAGAAAGATAAGCTAACAAACACGACCGATATCGATCAGCCGACAATACGAATTTCGTCTGAAATTGATAAGCGTGGAGATAACAATCGGTGATATCATCGGCGTGAATAACATAAAACGCAGTAAACGAGTGGTAGAAAGAAAAATGCCAACACTGGTGTGAAAAGCCAGAGTGGACGAGAGACGGAGGGAAAATAAACAGATACGAACCTGTAGAGGTCATTTTCAGTGACGATGTCTCGGATGGAGTCCTCGGGATCGATGCGATCCGCTAGAAAGGCCGGCGGTCCAGCAACCCTCGAGGACAACAAGGGGCACGCTGGCTTTACGACAGAGTCAGTGGCCTCATGGAGGGCGCTGGCCGCGATAAGATCGTCCTCGGAGGCGGTGCTAGGCAGAGGCACGTTAGGGCTCGGAGATCGCGAGCCAGAGATCACGCCGAGTAGATCCTCGCTCCTCGAATGTCTCATCTCCATAGCGCCGTATCTTCCTTTCGTAGTGGTTGTCATCCTTCCTTCCACGAATCACCGTAACGCACCCGATTTTTTCCACGACCGCGACCCGATTACACGACGACAGCTGCCTTCTTCTCGTTCGTTCCCGTTGCCACGACGACCACCGTCTAATCGTCGCTACTCCCATTCGGACTGGTTTCCTATTACTACGTTTTCAGCAAGCAGCCGCGACTCGCTAGAGAATACGCCACGCGATACACCGATTTTCATCTCCGAGATGATATTCTCTTTCTCTCTTGTTCTTGCGTTCTCGCCGCTTCGTCGCTCCTTCCACTTCCACTTGCAACGATCCAGCGCGCGTCCTCCGCCGCTGCCGATTTTCCTTCTTCGTCCGCGGCCAACCGGAATTTCTATCGTTCCTTTCGTTCTAGTTCATCGGTCCTCCTTATTCCGCTTCGTTTCTTCCTTTTTCTGCAACGTTTCCGCGGTGTAGCATAATCGACGGGACGCTCGCGACCGACGAAAAACTTTCTCGATCTCCGGCGCTGACACGCGCACGCATCGACCAAGCGAGCACCAAGGCTAACGGACCTATATCACACGCGTCAACTATCCGTTACGCAGTATATTCGCACGTTGCTACCTATCATCGACAACATCGCCGTTTTCCTCGTTTCTGCTTTTCCTGTGGTCCACTTCCATTCAGAGACGTGGTTCCCACGAGCTGTCACCCACGAGCTGTCACGATCCGCGATTGCACCATTTGCAGGATCAACAGGATCCTTCTTCCTTCTCCTTCTCCTCCTTTCGAACGTTAAGGGCGAATCCACAACACGATCGCGCAACGAATCCTCGTTTCGAAACAATTCACGGAATCTAATTCGCCCGATGCGATCCCAGGTCCGCCATTTTCGTTAGATTCTGTCAATGTTGTGTTGCACCGTGTTGGTGGTGCCGCTCGGGGAACACCGAACACCCAGCAGAACGGCGAGCAGCCTGCTTTTTGTAATTAAAGTAATTAGAAAAACGAGGGTGGCTCTCCTCCGCCGGCCGATCATGCGCGGTGAACACGACGCACGTCAGTGTACCCTGGCAGCGTTCACTTGACACTTGAACGCGACGTATATACCGGGGATTGATCGCCTTCCTTCGAGACTTTTGTGTTTCACGCGAATTTTTCTTCTCTGGCCGCTGGAATTTTCACGGCGTTCCGCCTTTCTTTCGCCGGCCACGACCCAAGTGCTGCCGTAACGGGAACCGACGAAGCCGCTTTGTCCTTCCGCGAGGAAGGGGCACACGCGAAAGGATACACACATATACCTGCGCTCTTGCGCGCTCGCCGCAGGTACACGCTGACATTGGCTAACGAACGCGTCTGTCCCACCGCTGGAAACGGGTCACATGACAACACGGCTGCACAATGCACATGTACAATCATCCTTCAGCCTTCCCTCTTTGATTTTCATCCAATTAGACAATCCGCGGTTTTGCACTCGTTCTTTTCGAAAGTACCGCGCTTTTCCCTCGGCGCCATCGAGACGAACACGTCACCGCATGACGACCGATCTGTCCAATCGCTTCGCACGTCGCGTCTCTTCGAAACATCGCGACTTTTTCTCCAACGTTCGCTTCTAAGAGAAACGAGAAAAAAAAAAGGTTAGTCCTTGCTGGCTAAGTCTAAGTACTCCGGTCTAAATACTGGTTGTTTTACGCAATCTCGCGATAACAATTGTATGGCGTGTTACATCGTAACGAAAGCGACACATCGAACCGATTGTCAGCCTAGTAGATGTACGACTTGTAACGATGTACACTACGATTATTCATCGTGACACCAAATATCGAACCTATCAGCAGATTACGACACATTAGTCAACGTCCAAAATTTTGATCATTTGCCGACTTTACCACGCCAGGCAAAGTGATGCGTGTAATTCCCCTATATATATTCCCTAGAACAGCTACCTTTGTATTTCCTAGACAACTGATCTTGTACGGGCAAAAAAGTCCTCTGTAGAGTTATTGGCTATTTAATTAACGTAGAAATTGAAAGAATAGCTCAGAAATGAAATAAATTCGTCGACATTTGACAATAGTAGATCGAAATTTTTGAGAATTTTTTTTTGGTAAGCGAAAAATTTACTCACTGGTTAACAGTGCACAAAACCGTACCTACGTTGTATTTTATTTTCTCATTACAACGAGAAAAGAACAAAATACAAAAATACGAACGAAATATTTTATTTGTATAAAAAATATAAATACAATATAATAATAAAATACTACAATAAATGATATAATATAATAAAATAAAATTCAAAACGTTGGTTATCTCTGTGGATTGTCGCGTAGAGGGCACACCGGTATAGTTTTCAAGTATTACCGTGTTGTTTACTTTTCAAGTATTACCCGCTATTTCTCAATGAAATAGAGACAACGCTACGCCGTTATTTTTATTTTTAATTATCTCGCATCTTGCTAACACTCTTGCATTATGACGAGTTCTGTTAGTACAAACCCATCAACGTTACTGCCTCTAGGTATGACGAGCCTTATTTCTAACCTTGTTCTTCCTAACGTAAGCTGTCACAGTATTGTGATTAATTTTCAGAATTAGTTGACAAATGCATCGGTTCTCGAATACATATCATTATGAAGAACGATAAAGAGATTGTCGGCACCTTGTTGGGTTTTGATGATTTCGTGAATATGTTGCTGGAGGATGTGACAGAGAGCGAAGCAACTCCGGAAGGAAGGAGAGTTACTAAGCTTGATCAAATATTACTCAATGGGAGTAATATCACAATGGTTAATAGCTTTTCTACTTCTTTTTTGCTTTGAAAAATTTAAAATACTTTTTCGAATGCAATTATTTATTAACTTACTTTATTTGTACAAGAAATTTTGTTTCAGCTTGTGCCTGGTGGAGAAATGCCTGACACATAAAAAAGTAACTTTTTTTGTTATATTTTGTACAATAAAACTTTTGACGTGTAATTTATGCGTATCTGCTACTGGAATATTGAAAACGTCTGCCAAGTACTACAATAACAATTAAAATAAATTTTAAGGACAAATTAGTACATCGATTGTAGTTATTACTTCGTCGATTGTTGGTCTAGCGGTAGCATTCTGTGACCACATCTGTTTATATAATGCTCTATAAACACCTTGAGATTCATCGTCTGCATCATTGTCCATGGGACGATACCCTTTTGCAGAAAGATAAATAATCGTGTGACTGTGCAATCCAGCAAATGGCAATTTTCTGGATAACATTTGCCAAGCTACGACTCCTAAAGAATAAATGTCTGCCGCAGGGGTTAACTTATTCTCCTTTATTACCTCTGGAGCGGCATATCCTGGCGTCCCCTGAGAAAAAATTTTTATTTTTAAAATGATAAGTGATTAGACAGTGGTGGTAGAAACATACGTGGAATTTATCAATTTCATTTGATTCTTGTATTAAAACAGAACTACCAAAGTCGGTGAGCTTCGATTGGCCATTTGCAGACATTAATATATTTTTAGGTTTCACATCTGCGTGAACGATACCGGCATTGTGACAAAATTGCAAAGCACAAGCTACATCCTTTAATATGCAAATTCGTTTGGTCTTGATCAAGATCTTTTCGTCTAGATAATCTTGCAAAGTGGTACCACATAATTCCATTGTTATTAAAGACAGAGAAGCACCCTGTTCTATCATTAGCACCTTTACTATATTCGAATGCCTTAGCAAAGAAGCATGTTTTTCACGTATCAACGTGCTGGAACATTTTTCTGTTTGCATCACCTTAGCTGCCACTTGATCACCTATCAAATACATAGCACGTCAAGTATATCGAGTTGTAATAATTTGTCCGAGCAAACCATGAAAAACAGGTTTTACCTTTATACGAAACTTTGTACACAGTACCAAATCCGCCACTTCCTAGAAACGTACCAATTTTAGTGGGAAGACCATTTTTCAATATCATTTGCCTGTTGGGAGTGTCGATATTAAAAGGTGACAGTTGATTTTTGCTTTCAACAGCTTTCCTATATGATCCTCTTGTAGGAGTCGTTGCAGTTAGGAAAGTTCTATGACGATACAGTATTAAATTGATTTCTTTAAATAAGTGAAGTTTAACGTTACATTGCTTCAGTGTTGCATTACCTTTCTTCCACGTTTCTTAATATCCTGGGTGATATGCTACGCAATTTTGTTGCTAATTTCTGAGGCGAGGCCATTTTGTACATAATAAGAATAACATACTTAGTTTCTTGGTACTTCAAAATATCGTAACGAAAGTAAATATTTTTTTTTCATGTGTCATGAACTTTAAGTAAATACTCAGAAGGTAAACGTCAAAGAATAATGAATAAACACGTACGTAACAGTGCGGCATCATAATGATGACTACAAATATTTAAAATGGAAAGGATGTAATTTAAAAAAAAAAACTATGAAACAGAAGGGAAATAAGATACTTTATTTGTTTGTTCTCTATATAAGGCATAAATCATCTGCTAGGAGTCTGTTACTAATTATTACTTTTTAATACTGTGTGATAACTAGATTATTTACAATTCTTTTATGAATTCATAACAATTCATACTGATTTTGATAATTTTTTAATATGTAAGTAATATCAGTAGTATGTATGTAATAACATATTTAATGTACTAGACAGTGTTTAATGAAACCCCGTGTTAAAAATTTCATGCTAATAGTACATGCTTGTAAGTACTGTTGATGTTTGTTCTTACAATTCTGGACCTCTATCACAATTACAGCACAATGTGTTGTTGATTCATAGCTTGATTCGTACTTTTGTATAAATAAGTAATAATAAGTAATGAGAATATATATATATATATATTTTTTTTTTTTCATCTTTATGGAAAGATTAAAGATTAGGATTGAATGTTATGTAAGTATTTCAGTAGATTAGCAAAATATTTTAACCAATTAAAATAGAATGTCTTTCTTCTTTTACAACAGCATCTAAAATATTTTAGAGATTTTCATTTTTATTGCACGTATTTAACATACGATGACTTTATTATCATTATCATTATCGTTATCATTATCATTATCATTATTATTATAGCTTGGTCTTGTTTAAAGTGTAGAAATTCGACATTTGGAACATCAACTATTATTGTAAAAATAACAATTACCAAAAACGTAGTTATCAATACTGATCAATTCTTATATTGGAAATAAAGTCTAAGTAATAGTGAACGTTATAAAAAGTGTTTTACCACTTTGTTTAACGATAATCTCGCCAATGATAAATTTTGCTTATATATATTATCTTCAAATAAATAGACGATGATAAATTTAAATAAACACTGTTTGAAGTAAATACGATTTAAAGTTAATTTAAACTTTTGTTTTGCTTGTACCTTTCGATAGCTCTTATACTCTTATTACTCGCATCAAAATATTTGTTTCTCTCTGGATCTAACAATGATATCAGGTACTTTCTCTACAGATGTGTATTTGGAGTACCTCTTCTTTATGATAGTTTCAATATATATATATGTATATACTATTTTATTTTTACAATCAGACGTATTTCGCAAACGAGGAGAACACGCGAAACAATTCCCAACGTCATATAACGTTATGACTTTCAAAAGATACTGGTAAGTATTCACGTACAAGACACAAACGAGCTGTTGCATTTTAAATCTTATTTATAACACGAAGAATCGACTATACAGCATTTGCCAATGACGTTACGAATATAACGTTTCTATTATCTAGAAAGCTCTGTTCGTGGGAAAAGCTTCTCGTCGCAAAAGAAGAAACAAATTTCTCGAGAAAGGAGAAAGGAATTGACTTTTCAACAAGACGGGACAAGAAAATTCCACGTCGAACTAAGTACAAGACACAGTGTACAGTTTGAAATTCTGTTTGTAACATTCAAGTTTGTTCTCACGATGTTTATAAAATATTACTCCCATCTGTATGAATAGTGAATTAACGTTAGAGCACGTATTGCTAAATGATTGTATAATTCATGGTAGCACGCAGTCGTGTTACTGAGTTTACGGTCCTAAAAGAAATTATAATGTAAGATTTGTAATATCGATTCGATGAGGGCAACTACTGACATTTTACTATTCGGACATTCTCCCCTTACAAAAGATTCAGTTTTTCATTTAGCCTATACGTCAACACTTCTGCATCAGACGGATCAGCACCATTTTGTGATTTACGCGGACCTTTTGATTTGGCACTCTAGCATCTCGCGTGCCTTTACGCCTAAAATTTCCTGAGCAACGTGTCGTTTCATCGCCGTTCGTTCGTTCGTTCATCGTCAGAGGCATTCAGAGGCACCATTTTCTCCCACCAAGATCGAGAAGAAGACGAGACGAATCTCAAGTCCATCAGACAGGTGTACAGGTACCGAATAATATCGTTTTTTGCCTTTTACTTGTTCCACGCAATTCTTCATCGCAACTTGAGGAAATCACGTTGTCGTAATTTGACAAGATCTCGCTGTTCGAGTACCTATTTATACACGTATCCAACGTAACGTAATGTCTTCTCGTGTCATCTCGCTGATATCGTTATCGATTATTTACAAATTCTGCAGTACAAAATAATTTTTAGGAATTTAACGAGTTAACACCACCGTCGGGGGAGATCAGAAACACCCCATTAACTTATCTTTTATCTACACTTTTTTGTCTTCTCTTAATTCATTGGTATACATACATATTTTATCTTTTTTTTTTTTTTTTCACGAAAATAGACTCTCTCTCTCTCTCTCTCTCTCTCTCTCTCGCGCGCGCGCGCTAGTACATATTCAGAATCGCTCTGAAAGGTGATACATAATAGGACTTTTGTATTGTAGTTGCCAGAAAGTACGAAAGACACAAAATCTTTGGAGAGATGTGGGTAGGGAAGGGGAAGGAAGGAAGAAAGGAAGGTGCGCTGGAGGAGAGGTATTTCATAAGGCACTACCTAACCAGGTAACGGAGCTTCCTCGTAGAAGTCTGGCTCGTCCTCGGTACTCTCGTGTTCCGATCCTTTGCTGTCGAGTGCCCGTAGCTCCGCGGCGGTAAAAAAGTGGGTCATCTGAGCCCTGAGAGGTATCATGAGAATGAGGAAGAATGGGAGCGCCAGGGCGGCCCTGGTGCTCTTCACGATCCACAGTATGGCCAGGCACAGGATTTGTATGAGGGTGAAGATGTGCATCTTGTACGTCTGCACGCGTCGAACGTAATTGGCCGTGCCGTGGTGTTTCACCGGCATGAAGAACAGCTTCACACGGTCGAACAGTTGGACACCGTTGGTCGACGAGATGCCCATGTAGAGGAACACGCCGAGCAGGACGGACATTGGCACGCGTCGCAGCAGCGGCGCCATCAGCACGCTGATGCCGATCAGCACGGCGACCAACAGGGCGCTCACCCTCTGCTCCTTCACCTCGACGATGTGCGGCTTGTCACCGGGCGCGTGAGTGCGTGACATCACCGTCACCGCCGAGACGTGCGTCAGCGACCGGACCGAGGCGGCGCAGCACCACGGGGCGCCCATTAAACCACAGCCGACGTTCATTAGGCACACTACCACTATATCCATGTGGTAGCCGTTACCTTTCCGTAATTTTCGTTCTTTTTTATCGATGATTAGTCTAGCAGAAAGAAAAC